CCAACCAAAAATCCCCCCCCCCCATTTTTTTTTATTTTTATTTTTTATTTTTCTGCTCCACCTTTTCTGTTTTTTATTTTTTATAATTCTAAAAACTTATCTGTAAAAAAAAAAAAAAGAGGGTTGTAGGGATTAAAAATCCATACAACCCCATATATATATATATATACCTATTATTTAATTTAGGAAAAATATGGTAAATTTGCGTTCGCGGCGCGGACGAGGTCGGTCGCAGACACGACCGTATATACGTTCGTCATCCGAGCTCGATCCCGCGGACGCGTCCGCGGGTGTTTCATAGCGCATGGGATCTTGTCCCACTCGTCGTCATGAAGCATGCTCTCCAAGGCATTACGCCTGGCGAGCAAACACACAAACATAAAAAAAACAGACGCGAATCGTGTCTCCACAGGGTGCACAAGTGTGAGGCGACGACTCTTCACCCTCGAAAGGTGATAAGCCGCACCGTGCGATTTAATAAATCGCACCAACGCCCGAGCTCTAAATATGGTGTCCGTAACCCAAGGAACCTGTGGCTTAATGTCAGACAACATCAAGTTGTAGATGTGGGTGGAAGACGGGAGCCAAGTGATACGACGGATCAGCGGATCGGTGTCCTTTGCAAGGAGCTTTGCGGCCGACGTATAGTTCGATGCAGAGTCCGTGCAAATGACCAACACGTCCTTCGGAGGGAAAAACCGAAAAATGGCCTTCCACCTTCTCAGGACAATCTGTGTCGTCTCGGGCACTAAACTGTCTCGCTGGACAGTGGCGTACCTGAGGGCACCGCACTTGGCGGCTGCGAGGAAGTTAACTAAAGTCCTAGCATCTCGCGATTGCCTACCGTCTGAAAGAATGGTGGCCTTCACCGATTCAAACGAAACACCCACCTTCCACAACATCGCGGCAACCTTCCCTCGCTGAGCAACAATGCCCCCGCCCCCAATGTCCTTGAACGATGGATAGATTGGCCGCACTCCGCTAGGCATGGCGGCCAACTGCTTCTTGTGCCATAGCCATGACTGCCTCCTGAATGCAGCAAACGGCTGTGTAACACTCTGTACGACGTACAAGGGGGTTATCGTACGGTCGTATGCACGGCCGTATGAATGGCCATACGGCCGTATGTACAGCCCTGTATGGAAAAAAAAAAAAAAAAAAAAAAGTTTCATTTTTGTATCTCAAATTTGGTAACGAATTTCAATATAACCCTGAGGCAAAAGTGTTTCAGTTTATTTTTCTGCATAACATATTTGTTTTTCAGATTTTTTTGATTTTTTTTTTTTTTGCTTTTTTTTTCGTACGTACGGCCTGTACTACCACATGAGCCCGTACATACGACCTTACGTACGTATGTACGGCCCGTATTCGTACGGGGGTCTGCATAGGCAAACGGGATACCGGATTCGTGGACCCATTGCAAAAAGGAGTCCCTGAAGGCGGCCTGCCCATCCGGATCGTACACCTCGTCCAGTTTGGACTACCGCTGTCTCTTCCACGCCTGCGGCACGCCCTCAACTCCACTCTCAACCGGCCTCTTCCCCGCTCGCCCCTGTGCGTCCCCCTTGCGATGGTCTGCGACCCCACTCCCTCGCGCAGTCATAACCACCTCCTCTCCCGGTAAATCTGGTGCTGTCCCTGTCCCTCCATCCTCCTCTCCGCCCCTGGCCTCTGCTCGCCTAACCTCCTCGTCAAGGAAGTCCTGCACCTCCTCCACAGGATCACGCTCATGTGGTCACGACTCCCTCCCACCCGTCCTTCCCTTGCCAATGAGTCGAGTGTCGTCGACAGCTCGTCTATCTGCGATATCATGCTCCCTCATGTATGTCAAGATACCGCGGTGATGACGTGCATCGAACTCGTAGTCTGTGTGGTTCCAAATATCGACAAACACCTCCATCGTCGCTGTCGCGCACCTCTTCAACTGCGTGAAGTGGCGCTGAGCCTTCGACACATTGTCCTGCCACACGTGCTTGCAGTAATTGTAGTGCAGCTTGTAGTCCCCATGTCTCTTCTCCCACGTTCCCATCCTTTGACCCTGCGTCACATAACGCCCGACTCTCGACTTGGTGCGCAGTTCACCCAATGACATTTGTGCATTGGTTGCAGGGATGAAATCGCCGCCCCCCGAACCACTTGCACCACCCGTCATTTCAGTCGTTACTGGCCCTGACCCCCCCCCCCGCCCCCCCACTGTAGATAATGAAGTTCCCGTGTCTTGCGTGGTGCCCTGCGGTCCCTGGCCACGCTGTTCGCCCAGCGGCCGCCTTATCCCGCCTGAAGACCCACCGTGTCCCACCTTCGCAGGCTCCAGAAAACAATCCGTGAAGCGCGACCGAGATCAACGCCGCATGGACGCGATCGAGTCCGCTGATATGGTCGCGCGGACGCAATTGATATATATATATATATATATAAACTCCGACGAAACAGTTTGTCACAGCCCCTCGTTTGTTGTCCTCTTCTCCCTCTCTGCCTACGGTTTACCGG